CTGGCTCCAGTTCAATGGGAGTGGCCTCCGGGAAATGTGCCTCAAGCAGAGTGTTAGCTCTCTCTTCCAAGCTTCTAGTGTACGTGCCGTCACTGCGTTTTAGCTCGAACATTGTGTAGCCTCGCAGCTGCTAGGGTATTCGAAATACCTTCACAGAAGGTTCTAAAACTGGCACTCTTCACCTTCCTAATCTCCTTGCGGCCTCCCCTAGCTTGGCATTGTTGAAGAGTTTGCGTACCTCTTTCCGGAGCGCTGAAAGCTGCCTTGACCACCACGCGGTTTTGGTTGTTGTTACGTTCCGGTTACGTAGACCCGACTGTCGTGGGATCTAATGAGCGTACGCGGTTTTGGTCGCCACGTTTGGTTTGGTTTCGGGGGCAGCTATAGTTATTTTCTAGCGAAATACAGCCATCTCTTCAATGTTCCCTCTCTAAACCCGTTAGGTTTAAAGCTAAAAGCTTTCTATATTTATCCCAGTTAGCGTTTCTGGGGTTCCTCATCGGAGCGTAAGCCTTGACCTCCGCTCCCAGAAGAATTGGATAATTCTATGGTCTGACATGGAGGGCTCCGTGGACACCCGCCATTGTTTGACCAGATCGTTACCCATATTGTTGCTGAGGGTCAGGCCAAGGACCTCCTGCCTTACTCTAGTGATGAATGTCGGGCTATTTCCCACAGTATTTATGCTCAGATCTTCACTTAATATGTACTCTAGTAACGACTCGCCACTTCTGTTAACGTCTGAACTTCTCCACTCTACTGCTCTGGGCCTCCCCGCGGCGAGGTCCTATATTACCTTATTACTTGCTCCTTTGAGGCCTCTGTAAGTCCACGGCTCCTGAATTAATAATATGCCCAGATCGTCCGTCGAAAACCTGCTTGCAATTACAGACGCAATCGCATGATGCAGATTGATCTGGGCTACTTTTAAGGGCGGTGGGTACCTCATCATTGCTCGTCGAAGTCCGAGAGCCGTAAGTCGCCCTCGCTTCTCCCGTCGAACAAGCTTTGGTCAACCGCGAGACAACTGTCCAACGTGATGAATCGTGACGACATAGGACCCGACGGATACATGCTAATACTAAAAAAATTGGGTCCTGCGTTATGGAACACAACTTGTCTACGGCCACTCTAATCATTCCAGACATCTGGAAAATGGGGAGGGTGGTCCCACTGCTTAACCGGCCAACCTGGGAGAGTCCTATCTTCTGATAACCCTGATAAGGCACTAGAGGCCTTGCTACTCCGACACAACACAAACCACCTGACCCCATCGAGGCATTCACAGGGAATCAGTATTGACCTACACTGACTATCGATCTGTGAATAAAGTTCTGGGAACAACCGCTTGACGTAGACGAGACAGAGCTTTGTCTGCCTCGGGAGACTCGAACCACTAGAGCTCAACTTAGCTTTGGTAACTAATAATAATAATAATAATAATAATAATAATAATAATAGTTTAGCGCTTACACATATGTTAGTGTTTGGCCGAGCTTCTCCTACAGTAGGTTAAACTCGTACCTTACCTCGATACATCTCTGCGCATGCCCCCTAAACCGCACTGAGTCTCCCATTTGTTGAGCGTGACGTCAACGATTAAGGGACTAGCCGATCTAAGCGGAGTTGAGTAGCCGCTACAACAACAAGATAAGGGTTACAGCGGAGCTTCAGTGGGCTGCCAACGACGTGTTCAGTTTGCAGCGCACTGAAATCTGCAGCGTCTGTTCATCATGAGGAGACTGGGTCTAGCACTATAAAATATGCTTTAAAGAAAAATCAGGTTCTGGTTGTACGCTGGTGTAAAAGAAGTTTCCAATGTAAAGGGCAACGTCGCCTCGGATGAAGGTGCCCCATCCGTTCCAACCGCTTATTTATTCTCGGGAAGGCTAGTTTCCCTGCCATTGAAGAAATACGCTGAGCAAGGCAAGAACTGCGGTATTTTGCTACATATATTATACCTGACATGTAGTGAGATTTATAGTGAGAAAGATAATTTGCTCTTGTTGTGCTTCCATTGCCAAGGTGGTCTGGTTGGAGGTGCATACGGAAAGATGTTGGTTGGTGAGCAGTTGCCGACTCGTATGACGGGGCGGACCATTTCGAAACAGAGCGTTGTTGGGGTGGTTTTCCCGATGACATCCTACGGGGAATTGCTTCGACAGCATGATGTTATGCTCTTTCACCGCCAGCATCAGGCTTTCTTTGTTGGCGACATGAGGTGGCGACTAGTTCAAACCTGAAACCCCTAAACCTGGTGAAAAGCATGGCGGTGGATTTCAAAGCGGATATGATGAGGTTTCTGGCAGTAAAGAAACTGGAAATGTTGATGAGATAGTCAGTGATTTTGCCGTCAGGGCTTTCGAAGTTTGAAGAGTCGCTCGGACTCCTTGCCAAGTCATTAAGGACTTGTCACTTCCAGTTCGGACGAAACGATGTATAACCAGCTATCTGTGTGGGCGTCAATTTTTAGTTGAATTGCTTTACGCCAAGTCTAAGCACTGTGGATTTAAACTGGTGGCCCCTGGAGGCGGCGTGTACTCCACGACACTCGCGTAACTGCTCTGTGAGAGCACTCCTCAACAAATCAATGTATAGGGCCAGTACTGGATTTCAGCGAGCCCGCTGCAGAGAAAAAGATGACGCATACGGGGTTAAGCTCCAATCGGGTGCAATGCAAGTTTAGGGGGTTGGATGCAGGGAGCTGAAAGAGGAAGCCATACGTAAATACATACATATTTGTTGTAAGAAAAAAAAGCTTGTGATATTGGTCGACGGGAAAACTCCCGTAAATTCTTTCAGAAAGTTAAGCGCCTATTCATTGATGTTCATAGCGTGTTGAAATTTTGAAACCCAGGATTCCAGTCGATAATCTCGAAAAAGTCCGTATACTTGGGTATCAGAGTTAATACAAATTCTGCTGTAGCCTCTTGCTTAGTCCTGTGTAGATCGCACAGTGATTAGTAAATGGAATTTAATGTTCATAATTCACTGGAGCTTTCATTTCTCAACCAACTTGACTATTTATTTTTTAATTAAAGCTTATAAAGTCTGCAAGAGATTAGTTGATCCCGATTTTTGATTATTTAAAAAAAAGATTGATTCTCCTTTTCTAGTTAATAAATGTTACATAATAAAAACTAGTTCAAAACAATTGTACTCCACCAAAAGCATTTTCTTTTTGTTTTAGGTTATTATAAAAATTTTGGGTATGCATTTTTATAGATGATTAAATTTTTATATAATAAAGTGCAAGCTGCAAGTCGCTAAGAGGTCGCGTTGATTTTTAATAATTTTTTCGCTAACATTTCGAGCACATCTGCTTGCTAAATGGGAAATAAAAGCATTTGTTATATTATTAAAAATCAACGCAAACTCTCAGCCATTTGCAACTTGCACTTCAGTATACTAAAATTTAATGATCAATAAAACCGCATACCCAAAATTTTTATAAAAACCAAAAACAAAAAAGAACTTTTTGGTGAAAAGTTTTTCATAACATTTCAAATTATTTGTTTTTAATTTTTTTCGTTTTTGGAGAATCATAAAACAAGTTTTTATTATATAACTTTGTATCGATCTTCTTCAAAATTGCCACTCTTTCTGCACTTTGCACTAAGAAATACAAAATATAAACAAATGAAAAATCAAACATTGAGCTCAACTAATCTCTTGCAAATTTTATAAGTTTTTATAAAAAAAAAATGTATCAAAAATTTATTAACCACTGTGGATCGGCTTGTCCTCAATCGTTTTCGTCAAGCACAACTAACGGGAGGCTCAGGAAGTGGGGTTTAGAGGACATGCGAAGAGGTGTGGCGAGTAGTGAGGTGACTCCGCATGCCGGACACTCATTCGGCACATTTGCATTTATCCCATTCAGGTAGAAGCTTAACCTGCTGCAGTTGGGCTGTGGTGGTGCGTTCTGTATCATCCTTTTCAGGTGGCTGTACTCCCAAAACGGCATTTACAGGTCTAGAGTTTGTGTCATCTCGAGACCGACTCCCTGTGAATACCATTTATGGCCAATCGGTACGCAGTCGGGTCCAGAGGTTGTTTTATGTACCTCCGTTAGTTCTGAGAGATGTCTTATGACGTGTCTAGGCAAAGGCTCTGCGGCAATTAGGGTCTGTTCGGGTACCAACGTCTAAGGCATCCTACTAGGAATTTCGTACATACTATTATATTGTGCTCCTTGACAGGATGCATTTGAGGCTCGTCATGTAGGTGGTGCTGTAGCGACATCAGAAGGGATCCGGTGACCGTCCGGACTGCCGTGTTTTTTTTTTTTTAATCTGCAGCTTTGTCCATTGCATCCTGTTAGTCCCCGGGCGCTGCATAATTTAGAACCGGCTGGCCAATTACCTTATATGTTGCCGACAATGTTCCTTTGTCTTTGCCCCAGGTGTTGCCGGCTAGCGACTGAAGGCTTTGAAGATTCTACGGAGGATTTACAAGCTGTGTAACGAAGGCGAATACCGTCGACAAGTGAAGGATGAGCTTTATAGGCCTTACAATAGTATTGACATAGTGCAGCGTAATCAAATAAAGTGGCTCTGCATGCTTGCACATCTATAAATTTATACCAAGGCTCCAGCCCTAAAAGTATGCAACGCGATATCTGCTGATGGTAGCAAGTTTAGTTGATGGCACTTTTGTGATGGTAAGTCCAGAAAAGGAGAACTTGATTTCACTGGGCATTTCCAATTGACGTCAGTTGACACAGAAGAAAAACGAACGGCATACTTAATTAGCCTCGGCCAGCGCCAAAAAAGAAGAGTAGGATTTTAACAAACCGAATATAAAGCAAACTATCAGCCCTATCCTGAACAGAAACTCCCTGGGAGCTTTCTCTTTTTCCCCTTTCCTCCTATCATGAATGAAAATTCCCTGAGGATTTTTCTTTTAAATGGCGGAGTTGAGCTGCCAAAAAAGTGTCAAACAGCTCTTTCAAAGTTCCAATTTCCTCCTGCCTTATTTTCAGGAAAATGCTACTCACTGGGATTTATTAATTGGAAGATTTCTTTCTCTGGAGAAACGAATTCCCGGAGAACAAACACCCCGGGAGTATTCAGAATTGGGCTGTATATAACTTTCTTGCACTAAAATCAAGATTTATTTACAAGCAAAAGTGTAAATTTGAATTTATTTATTATCAAAGCGTGTAACCACCTTGGTCCGCCCAGTGTACGCGTCGACTTTCGAGGTAGTCTAGGCTCTCTTTGATCTTTCGGCGTTCTTCATCCATTACTGCCAAACGTTTGTATTTCTGTATAACATAGCAGCAGCTGAACATGAGTGCAACCTGAAAGATTAGCCAGAAAATCAGTAGAGCGATGAGAAGGCTTTGATTCAAGCAAAAGTTGTCCAATTGCATGTGATCTAAATCAACGAAATAAAAAGAAAAACGAAAAATTCAATTTTAATAGAATACCGACTGTCAGTAGGCACATACCAATGCCCGCAATCAGTAAGACGCCACGCTCGCCATAAATAAAGCTATTACTGCTGACCTGATCAGGACCACGCACGTGTAAATTATAGTTCAGTGGAAGTATGCCCAAATCTTGCATCGACATATTGTCAGTCTTTGAGTCACGCGTCAAATTCATCTCTTCAAGCTGTTCTTGGGGCACATCCATCACCGTCGATATGTAAACGGGGTTTTGAACCTTAAAACGATCCGAGAGTGGAGACTCTGGCTCCTCTTCCCTAATTGGTGGCCGGATCTGGCGGCGTTTTCGTGTAGCAGAACTTACAAGATTAGCTGTAGCGCTGCTATAGCTGTCATCCTTGCTGGGGCTCGTGCTAACACCACCACCACCACCACCACCACCACCACTACCATATGGATAACAATTATCTCCGAGGCAGCGTTGTTTACAAAAACGTATATTCACATCGAAGTTCACTAACGAAGATCCGGCAAATTTGAAGGCGTGAAAACGTGCTCTTAACATATTTTGTGTAGTTGAGTGTTTACGCTCCAATGCGGGAAATACCGTGACATCAATGGGGCAGCCACGTTCATCGATGAGTTGCACGAAATTTTGATTGTCCTGTGTTTTGGCAATCAGCGAAGTCGCGCGAAAGTCGGGCAATGGTGGCAGTGCATAGTTAACCAACTCTTGCTGGTGTGGTGAGTATTCAGCAATGATTTGTAGTTCTAGATTTTGTCCAATTTGCACATCATTCGTTTCGTGTTGATGCGACAGATCGACAATTTGTAGTGTGACTTTCGGTAGGAGTGGCACATCCGTGCTATTGAATAGCAGTGAGCCCTCGTTGGGTAGCATGCTGTGTGAAGGTGGAGATGTAAAGAAGAATTAAGACTTGTTGGCACAAATTTATTCTATTAATTATAACTTTTCGCGACAAAAAACATGTTTGTATACAGGGTGTCCACCGCTTTTTAAATGAACGAAAATATTTTTTATTGGAAAACGAAATAATGTGTATCACCAAGTCGGCGATGCTCTCTCTATCTTTTGGTCGTATTATCGACTTCGGGTTTCGACCGGAAGTAGGTTTAACTGACCAGAAGTATTTCGGTTTTTATTACAGATTCGGAATCTGCGGAAAAAATACATTACCTTTGTAGGAAATTTTTTTCTATAAGGGATTTCCGTTTAAAATAATGGAGCTCCAGCCTATTTGAACTACTTTCGGTCGAAACCGAAAGTCGGTAATACTTATTTCTTCGTTTTCCAATAAAAAAACATTTTCGTCCAGGACTAGTTGAAAGTTGAAAAAGTTTCAAATAAAAGTTACGTATTTTTATGCGCAGAATCCGAATCTGTAGTAAAAGCATATAACCCCATATAAAGAAATGACCTTCCGGTAAGTTTAACCCACTTTCGGTCGAAACTGGATTTCGGTAATACCACCAAAAGATGGAGTATCCCCGACTTGGTATTTCATATTCTTGCGCCTTCCAATAAAAACTATTTTTCTCCATATTAGACGGGGTGGACGGGTAGTGTGGGACATGTATTTATGTATGTATTACAGCTGAATACGAACTCGATTTCAATGCCATGGTGAACAAGAGAAGAGAGCTTTAGTCCCACTGTCAGAAAATCAAGCCCTTCCGACAAAACGTGCCATAACGGATTGAGGCTGATCGACTTCGCCGGCGCCCGAACCATGGTAGTAAGCTATCGGCTATCTTTACCGATGCAGTTTGCAGAAGGCGTGAGAGAAGTTTAAACTCAATGTGGCCACAATCAAACCCTATCCCCACAGGTACTGTTGAAATTTGTCAGAGATTTAGGTTTAGAGAAGGCATGGTGAAGTGTGGAGGACGGCACAATAGACCACTAGGTGGCGGTGCAAATCTCATTTTATTATCTATGGTAGCAAGCAGTACTAGGCTCCTGCATAGAAGGATCCATCAAGCTACGTAGCTGTCTTCAAAACGAAAAACGAGGAACGAAATCGATCATGTTGTGATAAACAGAAGGCACGCTTCCAGTGTTTTAGATGTTAGCACACGCCAAGGATCAAACATCGACTCGGATCACTGGAAAGCTGGAATCACATCAGACATTACAACATGCATTCGCCATTCGACTCTTACACCTTCTCTCAGAGAGTACTCTTCAAGAAGCCGACATATGCGAGTAGTGGGTCCATATTTCCCGCACATTACGTACCACTGCCGAAAAAGTATTCCAGCAAGCCCGAAAAAAGAACAAGTACGATGTTGAATGCAACGAAGCTGCAGGCAAGAAAGGATGCCCCTGCAATGGGGGGAAAAGCGCGATATTTAGAATCGATATGGGAAGATAAAGAGAAGGCGAAGGAGGTATTTGACGTAATAAAGGTAGAAAGCATGCTTCCTGACTGCCATTTGAGTGTGCTTAATATGCAATACAAAGTCGTATAGAGGATATTGTGTGAAAGACAGAAGCGCACCGTCTGGGAATGGATTGGGCAGTTGACTTTAGATCTGGCAAATTCACCAAAGACCAGGTACTCACCATACTCTGAGTATTGGAGGAGAATCAAACGCACCGTCTGTTTGGCAAATATAAAGCAGCTAGCACAAAAATGAGTTGCCTATACGCGATGTCTGGATTTGAATATTATTTGGCCGAACTTCTCCTCCAATTTGTGGTGTGCGTCTTGTTGTTATAACACAAGCTGGAATAATCTACAATTTTAAGCCGCAAATGGTTTTATGAGAAGCGTTTTCAAAGTAGAAATACACGCGGTTTGCCATTCTTCTTGGATGTGGCTCGGACCAGCAAGCCAAGTGGTGATGGGACATACTCAAACTACTTGGCTATAGCGAGCGACTGTGGAACTAAACTTCGAATTAACGCATCCACAGTCTCCCAGTGGTTAGAGGGGCATGGTTTACCAAACATTGGGTAGGATATAGCTTCGAACCCTGGAGAAACTTCAAAAAAAAATTTAGAAAAAAAGAACTTGTTATTCTCAACCTTACCTAATTTCGATCCCAATCCCAATCTCAACCCATTCTTAAGCTTAATCCCAATATTTTTCTTCTTCTTAACCTTAGTTCTAATCTTAGTGCTGATCTTAACTTCAATCCCAATCTCACGTTAACCTTTCTCTTAATTTTAATCTTAATCTTATTCTTAAACCGCTACGTGCCCCGGTTCGACATTTCACACAAAATATTAATATAAAGAGACTCAACTGGATTCACATCCCACAGTGGTTACCAATAATGCCACGAAGGCATTTTATACTTATCAAAGGCTCCATGGTAAAACTTGGCGAATATCTCCGAAACTAACGTACCGGTCATTTAACACGTAGATAAAAACGGGGTTAGGAACCTACCTAGAGTTCCGATGTGAATGTGCACAACCACAATCCTGGCGGAAATTATCGCAATTAAAATAATGTCTTCGCAGAAAGACTAATGGGGCAACAATAAACATCATGTCCAGCGTTAAGAGCCCTAGGCTCTTGGAGAACGGTAGCAAATCTGGTAGACAGATGATAAATTATACTAAAAAAACTAAGAACCAATAACACCTTGTCACACTAATAACCTTGTGGTGAGTTTCGGGCCATGAGGCTTCGATGGCAACGAAAGCGCTGACACTGCCTCGTAATGCGGTGACCAACACAGCCTGATCAGCCCTCAGCCTTTCTGTGATCTGTTCAGAGGATACACAGCTCCTAAGGATATGGGAGTACTCGCAATATGCAAGCCAATGGTGCACGACAAAGGGTAAAAGGCAATTCGAAAGATTTCTAACTCCGTGTTGTGGAAGATTTAGTGATCGAGTGCTAAATCTTAGCAGAGAGGGTTTAAGAACTCTCACCGGGTACCTGACAAGACGAAGCGGACTGTGTTTTCGTCTACACAAAATGGGACTCTCGGAGGAGACAAAATGCAGGTTTTGTGAGCTGGGGGAGCAAACCTTGGAACATATACTATCCCTACAGTGGAACCCCAAACTAGTCAGGAAAAATACTAGTTTACAACTAGAATTTCCTGACTGAAACCGAACTAGTTCGAAAATGGCCAGACTTTTACCAAGTACAAAACGAATGCCCGGTTTTATTTGACTTCGACAGTTTAATACAATAAGTACAAAAAATATTACAACTTTTATTTGGGTATATTGTCAACCATTAAAGCGAGTACATATTCAATCGACCAGGCATGTTAAAAATTTATTAATAATCATAATGATTATTAATTAAAGCATGTTTTTTTTTTGGATAACCGCTTAATGATTAAATACCAATATTAGCACCATTTTAATCAATAGTTAATTAAAAATTGTTAATTAATTCATTAATTTTAATTACATGATTATTTTGTTATTTTTGATAATTTTCAATTATTTTTGACTTTTTTTAATTACAAGATGAAAATAGATATTCGATTAATTTCAATTATAAACAAGCCAAAACAACAGACACAAATTATGAATATTTAATAACTGCATGAATTGTTTATTTATTTTATTTTTATCAAAATCTCAAATTTTAAACTTTAATTATTACTTTGATAACATTTCAAAAAGAAGGGACTGAAATGTGCAAAGTTAGTGAATTTAATTTAATTTAATAAAAACTTTTATTTTTATTTAAGTATTAACTTGAATATGAACTAAAGTATTTACTTTATTTTTAACTGAAATATTTTCTTTTGCATATTTAATATTATTAAAAAAGATAAAAAATTTAGTATTAATTGTACCTGAATGCTTTTACTTTTAATAACAATTAATTAAAAATGCATTTAAATTTATGTTAGAAAGTCTGAAATATTTATATTTTAATTTGACATTAAATATTAGCAAATCTAAGGCTGCTAAATAAAAATGTGAAATATATAAAGTGTATTTAATCAAAAGTTTTTTATTGTATATAATTTATTTACTTTTTACTTTTACTTTTTAACTCCCAATGTAGTGGTTTCGGTCCATAATTCGACAAGTATTTTTCTGTCTATTTTGAACTAGTATGAGACTGGTATATTTTTGACCAAAATCGGACAATTGACATCTCGTAGTTAAAAATACCAGTTGATTGCATGGAAAAAGATAGTTGGCTGACTAGTTGGGCATGCGGTTCATACTTGTTGTAAGGTAGTTTAAAACTGTTACATTTGACTACAGGGATGTGATCGCCCGCGTATAACTCAACTTATACCATGGAGAACAATTATCGTCTCCATCCAGAATCTAGACACTCGGGACACCCTTCAAAGTGCTAAATTTCATCAATAACCTCAGGTTGGAGTGGCTATTAAGGGTTACTATTTAAGGGTTAGCACACTATAATAGTGTTCGCTATGCAAAAAAGATCAGTCCAGCGCCTTCGTCTTGACCTGCAGGCTGTGTCGGAGACTTAAACGTAGATTACGTGATATTACTAATATCACATTCAAGTTAAAAGTTGAAGAAAAAGTTGAATTACAAAATCTATTATATATATTTTTTTCTATCTACCTATTATATTTTAAGACGTCCACTAAAATATTTCGGAGAAATATTAAGATTTACGTAAGCTGGACCGATTTGAAAATACCTCCAAAAATGGAGTTTTTTATGAATAAAAATAGTTTTTTAAAGAACTTTTTGAAAAAAGTCCCAGCAGCTGACAAAACAGATTAAGCTTAAAAAATCTGCATGAAAATATTTAAAAATGTTTTCAACGGAATCGTAATAATAAGATTTTTGATGTTGTTTTTGTTTTTACATTTTTCAAAGATTGATTTATAATGCCCATACCTTTGAATAAAATAAACATACTTAGAAGATATCAACCAATACTTCCCATATACCAAACGAAAGGAAAACACCTGAATTGTTGAGTAAAGAAAACAAAAACAAAATCATTCGAGCGGTTTTCGAGCATTTTGGTAATAAAAAAAAATTGCAAATTTTTTCAAAAATCTTTTGCCTTAAAAATGCTCATTATTGGTTGAACTTATATATAAAATTTGTACACGATAATATTTCTACTGCTCCAAAGAACCTACATATATCCCGAAAATAAAAGTTATATCTGCAAATCATTAGACAGACTTTAAAGTCTGTCTCAAAATTGACCCCAAAATAAGCCAATATTTACCGTTGTTTCTACGACAAACACCGAATTGGTTACTTATAGAAATGTATCTGTCGATAGGTGGTCGAATTTTGTCTTTGAAACGCCACACCTTTCTTTGAAATCGCTTCACTAGTTCTTGTGCAATAAGCGTTCTTGTGAAGCTCTAAAAATTACAACTACAACATTTGAGCATAGCCTCCATATCGAAACGTAAGATGTATTTTACGTCAAAAACTTGTACAAGTTGATAATAATTGTTACCAAATTCGTTTGGCCAAAAAACTATGTAGTAAAACTTGCAAGGAGAGAGCACAATTTTGACATTTCATTTGGAGGGGAAGTTCGTGCTGGGGAAATTATTGACACACGGTTGCATTTTTTTCAACAATAATTTGAATCAACAAGTTCGTTCAATTTAAAAAAGGAATAATTTTTTTGGCGATTTACTAATGAAAGAAAGATGTAAATATTTGTTTACTCAATTAACTTAATTAATTCCTGTATTCGTAATCGTAACACAATCGACACCACGGTCGATATAGGAAATCCGACAGTGACTTACACAAAGAAATTGAATCTTATGTTGAAGAAAGTCAGAATAAGAAGGGATATACGTATAGGCCCTGTTTTGTTTTCCGACTGAAATAATGTAAACAATTTATTATGTTCGAAATGCAACCGTGGACGCCAGCTGGCAGTGAACAAGGCGTATTTAACAAGGTGGTGTTATTGGTCATTGTCATTGGTATGAGTTACAACAAACACATCATTTTGACATAATGGCCTCCACGGCGAAAAACTTAGCTGTCGCCCCAAAACCACCTTGTTTAATACACCTTGGCAGTGAAGCTTGCAAATGTTTGCTAATTCCTGTTGTAAGTTTCTCTCTTTGGGAGAGTAAGATTCTCTGAATTTGGTTATTGGCTAATTCTTACTGGCTTTTGCATAGCGAACAGAACTTATATCTAGTTAGGTCTCAGCGTTATATGCCATAATAAGTAATAATAATAATAATAATAATAATAATAATAATAATAATAATAATATAGGAAGACTAATGTCGAATTTCCACTAGGCATTATAATGATAGAAAATGTATGTATTAAAAAATGCAATGTGGAAACAGATATAGTGACTAGTTTTCCTATTTTGAATGCCCAACATTGTCATTAAAAATGTGTTCATTTAATGTCAAGTGGAAATTCATCATAAAAGAGATGAACTTTTGTTGCGTACCAAGAGTAAATTTTTTTTCTGGATTTTAACAAAAATATATGCGTATTTTTTTTTT